TATATATATATAGAGCTTATATATGTATATATAAGGTTTATATATAGGTATCCTTTTATGTACCTGCGTGTGTGTGCGTGTGTGTCGAACCTGTTCTTGGGGGTGCTCTGCTTAACCTATAGATAATATAACTTTCGGAGATCGATCGATCTAGTAGATAAGCTCATATAAGGTTCCCTAGTTAGGCTTCGCAGCTTCGCGCTTTGAAGCCACTGGAACACGTGTGGCGCGGCTGAGTACCGCATCGAAGGCTTCATGCCCTTACAGGAGGTGAAAGCACACCTGAGACCTGACACAAGCCTTTATTCGGGTGACGGAGCAGGAGGTCGAGGACATCGTCAACACGGACCCAAGCCGGTTCGATACAGCACCTCTGCCTCAGGGGCAGTTGATCCGGGCGCCTTATCAGGCCATAGCCCGGCAACGTGGAACCGGATTCCATCTGCAGTCACATCTCTGCTGGCTCTGGCAGTGTCACGCCACCAAATGGGGCCTCAGCCCCCCTCCCTCCCTCCCCCCCCCCTCCCCCTACATAGGCCAGGGTACTTAGCAGTTACACCATATATATATATAAGGATCTCTATCTAAAGAAAAAATATGGATTTATAAATAAATACATATATGTTTTTTACGGTGACCCCATACACTCCTTCTAAGCCGTTAAGAATTAAGTAGCCCTGCGTCCATGCATACCTCCCAGAAGCTGGCGTAGCTAATTGTTGATTTTTCATTTCCAGCCCCGCACAATGCCCGATGAACACCATCTGGTCTGGATATCTGCAGAAAGGCTGTACCCAGAACAGCCAGCATGGGCAGTGAATACAACCTAGTAACAGGACCTAGTAGTTGGGAGCTTGGGTTTGATTCATTATGTATGATGGACTTTGGGGGTTTTCTAGGGGTTTCTGAAGTAACTATATATCAGGACATATTCGTATATAGATACATATATATATATATATATATATTACTTTTATGGAATATATATATATATATAGAGCGTCTCTCTCTCTACATATATATATATAGGGTTTTGTATACATATGTATATATATATACACACATATATGCATGTATACATAAATAGGGGGTGTTAGAGGCCTTTAAATAATGGTTGACACCTCTACACGTGGGATAAGTTTTAGATCTCGAGTCCATCTTGTAAAAGACGCAGAGGTTGCTTCAGGTTTTTGTGGGAGACCTGCTCGAGTACTCAGGCCAGCCTGAACCAACCAAAGTTTAGAACTCTATATACAGGTTTGGGTTTATTACGGTTTATAGGGTTTATATATATATATATAGGGCATATATGGGTATATAGGTGTATATATATGTATATATATATAGAGACCCTATCTAGACCCTCCTATAACAAACTTAACATTGATAAATATATGTACCCGTATATATACACCCTCAACCTGTAAGCCCTTTTAAGGCCCTGTTACTGCCTGCAGAGGCAGCACTGCAAACTTATGCTGGCGACATGGAACACTGAAGCAGCTTCAGATTTCCACGGCATTGTGGCAGGATCCGGAATTAAGGCTTCCAGGAAACATCCCATATTTTAGATACAGGGCTCACATATATATATATATAGGGGGGAGCAGCGCTGTGTGCGGAGTTATTTATGACTGAACCGAAGTTACAAAGCTTCAGGCCACCGGTTTGCAGCCGGGTTGCATCGAACTTCACGGGGCTGGAACCCAGCATTTGCGGCAGTAGCTGCACAAAGTGCCGCGCATAAGCAAATGGATACTCCCTGGGATCAGTTGTTTGACTTCGGAGCCAGGGAAGGGTTGCTTCGGGTACTAGTAGGATATTACCATTTCAGCAGGTTGGCGGTCTAATATAGTTTCAGACAAGGGTCTGCGTGGGCTTCAAGTTTTCGGTGGCAGTCCAACACAGCTTTCCATTCTTGTCCTCTGAACGTGTGACTGTTTCAACAGTTGTGATTCGTTCCTCAGGTGTCAAAGTTCCCAAGTCCAGGCGATAGATTTGGTCTGAACTAGACCATAGCCACGTCTGCTTCCAGGTGAAGCTACCGAACTTCCGCATCCACAAAGATGCTTTGTACGTCTTGGCTGTCTAGACATGACAATTAATGAAATCGAACAACCACCTTGTATAGATACACTACAATTAATGGCTTGTGTACAAACTTGCACAACGAGTACAATGAAGAGGCACTGTGACACCCTTGGCCAGCAATCGTTTCAGAAACTGCACGTAGCGATCATGAAGTGCAATCAAAGACCCTTGCGGATTCTCCAGGACGTAGTGGCCTCCTGCGGCGATGACCAAGTACATCAAGATGGTGCTCCTGTCCGGCTTCGGAAGTGTTTGTATATATATATATATATTTTGCATACAGGGTTTCTATACATATATATATATATAGGGTTTGTAGAAGGAGGGAGCTTCAGGAATGTCCACGGAAACTCCCTGATGCGCGGGGCTACATATGCATCTCTCCTGGCCATCATCTTGTTGGCTTTGCGAACACTCACCACAGACTCGTCACCATGTGGGCACAGGTAGCACCGCTTAGAGGTGCCTTTGTTAACAGGCACCCAAGTAGAGCAAACCACCCCGAAGGCCGCCACGAGATGATCCAGCTTGGACCGCAAAATCAACGATATGGCTATCCTCAGCTGATGCGTGTTGATTTGGCATATCATCACGCGACATTAACTGTACATGTAAAAGCAAATGTGACAAAGCTCAAAGAATGCACAGCAAGTAGCACCATGCCGGCATTTGAATTGAGGTCCATGCATGATCTCTTGCCCTTTCTGGCCCCACGGAAGTCCCCATAAGACTTGTCATATGCTTGTACTCGATATCCAGCCCCTTCAGCCATGAGTGACAAGCGAGCCTTTCCAGAGAAGTAGTCCAGGAAATCATAGCCAACATCAGGGGATATGTCCAGCCACCATACCAGCAAGACTAAGAAGATAACCACCTTAATTGCTTCAAGATGGCATCAGAAAGGGCACAGGGCAGCATAGACAAGAGAGACGGCGAGTCGGAGAGCAGGGGCTCTTACCAAAAAATGAGGGCTGATGAGGGAGAGCACGAGCTGCTACAAAGAAGACAGGGACGACTCCATGCATGTGCACACGAAGGCAAACATCATCTGACCTACATAGCTGCAGGGACAGTACAATTCACCAACGTAGCACTTAATTCAGCTACATGGGGAGGCAGCACAAGCGTTGATAGACGTATATGCATAATGTTCGTGAGCACTGCGCAGTAAGTGGCATTGCCACTATATATACACAGGTGTTGGCATGCAGGCCCATATGCACAGGTCTTGTCATCGACTGCGTACAGCAGCACCATGCATGTGTATCTACATAAGTGTACTCTAGCTGCTCCGTGTGTCAAAGCAGGACGAACCCAGTACTGGATGATGCCTGTCCTTGCTCCCGTTAATATACAAGTCACGAAAAGAAACCCACACACACACATATTATCAAGCAACACACAAACACACACAAATAAGTTCAGAACGGCCAGGCAGCTTTCGGCGCCTCCAAGAAGAAGAGGCGACGAAGAAACACATCGAAATCTTCGGGGGACATGGCTGCACTAGTTCCCGGGCGAGCTCTCGAGGGTTGCTCCAGGGCCTTTGTTTTTACAAAGGTCCACTGTATGTATGTCTCTATAGAGAACTGAGGTTACATGTCTGTATATTAGAACAGATACACATTAGTCCAGCTGCTTTGTTCATGCTAGTTCATACACAGGACACCTACAAGCAGGTTCGAAGCTCCACGCATCAGCCAGGGCAGAGCGGATGGGTTTGTGCATCAGCTCCTCAACAATTTGCAGGATTTTACGAAGGGTGCATCGCTGGCTGAACTCCTTAAAGGTAGTGCTTCCGCCCATAGAAACCCTATAAACCCCTATAAGCCGTCTTTGAACCCTATGAAGCCTATATAAGCCCTTTATAAGGTATATATATATATAT